GTCATGTCATCCAGGAGATGATCTCCCCTTCTGTCTTTTAGCTACAGTCAACACAAAAACCACACAGTAGGAGCCAAACTGCTTCCCTCTTCCGGGCTGTTTCCGCTGGAATTTCTCATCATAAACTGTGCTCCTACTGCCACCTGCTGGCAGCTCCACATAGGCTGAGCTATCTTTGTAAATCCCTCAACCTTTGTGAATTCAGGAGACAAACCATTGGGCTCACAAAAAAAAAAAAAAAAAAAAAAGGCAAGAGGCTGAATGCAGAAAACCAGCTGATAAATCTTCCCCGAAGTTGGTAAAGCTATAAGGGAGGCATACTTCGCATCGATAATGCCTCTCCTCTCCTGGAGATAAGCCCTTTCTTCTCGGTAGCTGCTCTCAGTTTTCATCAGATTGCATCTGTCTCCAGGTATTGAAAGAAAGCAGATTCTGTTATCCAGACCATCTCAATTTGGACGGGCTCTCTTGCTAAACAGGAGGATGCCATGGCCGCAGCATTAACCCTGATGGCCACGCTGAAAACCAACAACCCGGCAGGTACCAAACAAACCTCCACCAAGAAAATCCCACATCGCTAGCCTGGCTAGGCTTGGCCTCTTGGCAGAAGGAAGCAGGGCCTGGGGGATTCAGGCCACTGCATGTCTTGGTACTTCATGTGGGCAGCCAGGGCCACAAGAAGACTTCATTCCTTTTGTCAAAGACACACACACACTCACACCCACACACACCCACACACACACACACCCTGCAAAACATAATGATGTGCTAGCCGGGGTGGATGGTTAGATTTTTGCTTTTCTTTGTCTCTCTTTCGCTGACAAAAATGGGGAAAAACCCTTTTCAGAGGCGGGGGAGTTTATTTCTGACTGTTGGAAAGAAAGAAAGCAGGAATTGTTGTCAGGACAATTAGGAGCTCATCAAAGCCTCATTTTGCTCATCAGCCATCATTGCCCTCTGTCCCGCACCCCCGCATGTTCCTTTAATTCAATGCCCGTCTAATGAATAACTCCCAGGAACAAAAGACCCTTTCAGGCTGGCTCACATAATTATTAGAGGAGCCTTGCATAACTGTCGCAGACGACTCATGTTTTCAGGCCTGTCTCTAAATTTGGTTATTCACAACCTCTATAGCTCAATATTATTGCCTAACTGTGATCATTTTCTAATTATCCTAATAATACCTATTAAATAATTCCCATTAAGTCACTTGAGCCGGCGTAGCGCAGGCCAGCTCAAATACAACTTAACCTAATAAGCATTGGTCATTCATTAAGCAACAGGGCAATCTCTTAAAGGGACTGAATAGAATATTAAGCCGCAAAGGAATATTATTATTGCACAAATGTTATTATGAGTTAGAGTGTATTATTTTGTGGCCTGGTTTGCAAATTCCCATTTGGTTTCCTCTGAGGCCACTCTGAATGACTTGACTCCTTGGGTCTCCAGTCCTTGGTTGGTCTGCATCTGTCACTCACATGAGGACAATCAAGGAGTAAAAGACCCATAAACCTAACAGAGGAATTAAATTACCAAGGATATAAAGGGAATGAATGGAATCCATCTTCCGGCTGGTTGGCACACCTTTGAAAACCCCGCCTGGCTGGGTTTCTTTACTTACAATTCAAGGTGGGGGTGTGTGTGTCTTTTTTTTTTTTCTTTTTTTTCCCCTCTCATTTAGTGATGAGGAAGATTTTCAGGAGAAGCTTCGAAAATTTGGTTTCTATCATTTAAATTTTAAGCAGTAAAGATTAGAAAGAATTTTTTTAAAATGCATACATGTGGGCCCTTGCTATTTTATAAAGTAATATTAGGTAGCCTTTATTGAATGTCCACCGTGCAACAGATACTCTGGTAGACATTTTGCCCACAACATCCCTAATTCTTTTCTTTTTTTGGAGAGGTTTTTGCTATAGGATGCGTGCGCTCGCCAGAAAGGAGGAGAAAGACAGAGGGACAGAAAGTGAGAAATCACCCTGCCGCAATTGCTTCTCCTCCATTCTCTTTTCGGGATCTTGGGCACACACGCACACATGCCTGTCGTGAGTTTAAGCCACCGGATCCAGGATTCAAACTGCAACACCCCTAATTCTTAAAGTGACCTGGTGCTGGAGGAATTATTTTCTCCATTTTTTTGGATAAGGAGTCTGGGGCCAGAGAGACTAGGTGATTTTCCCAGGGCTGCACAGACTGTGAACACAGGATTCTCTGTTGTTCACAGCTCTGCTTTTCCGCCCAGGTCTCAGGCTGGCATGGCTTGGTAACAGCAAATGGAACCATGCCTCAGCCTTGCTGCTTCAGCCCTTTCATTTCTAGGGCGCTCACTAAAATCAGCAGATCCCTAAAGATAAGTACCAGAGCCTTCTAGATTGGGACGAGGATCAAAGAACAGACAAGGATGGCCATTCTACCAAAGTCCCACCAGCAGCTGCAGAGACAGGGAGTGACTCTGGGTCCAAGCAACAAGAAACAGTCACCATTTTTGTAATGAAGCTGCCTGCCTTTTTTTGTTTGTTTGTTTTTTATAGGGCAAGTGTGCTTGCCAGAGAGAGAGAGAGAGAGAGAGAGCGAGCGAGAGAGAGCGAGCAAGAAAGGGAGAAATCACCCTCCACCAGGAGGGATGGGTGCAATCGTTTTGTCACTAACACACACACACAACACCATCCCTTCTCCTCCTGCCTCATTTTCCTTTTGGGATTTTAGGCATGCATGCACGCACCCCTGGGGTTGTCTCTCAAGTCACCAGGCCTGGTGCTCAAACCATGCTGTTGGCCGTGTGGGATCCAGCTGCCTTAACCACCACCACACCATTGGCTGGCATTAATGAAACCCATTTCTGATAAGAGAGTTTGGGCTATCTTTGCAAGAGAATCCATGGCATATTTGAGTAAGAAATGAATGATCTACTCCACGCCAGGCATTGGGTTAGCGGTTTCACATAGCTAATATCCACTATAAATACAAAACATGCGTATGATCGGGACCAGCAGTTGGCATAATGGCTATGTCACTGGACACCCATGTAGTCGACCATGGTTTGAGTGTCAGAACTGGTGGCTTAAACTCACACCAGGCACATGTGCGTGTGTGCCCAAGATCCCAAGAAGCGAGTGGAGGAGAAAGGATTGTGGCGCGGCCATCCCCACGGGGGGGTGATTTTTCACTTTCTGTCTCTCTGTCTTTCTGGCACGTATACGCCCCCTATAGCAAAACCCTCTCAAGAAGAAAAAAGGGTATGATCACCACTCCCAATTTACAAACAAGGAAACTGAGGCGGGGGTAGAGTCTGACTCCAACATTTCCCTGGTGTCTGTCCCAGCACAGAGCTCAGGGAGCTGAAGTCTCAGGCCCCTTAGCTGATGGGCCCTGACGGGGCTCTGGGCACAGCCCTCACAATTGTACATGCATGACTTTGTCTGAGTTCAGGCCTCAGAAGGTATAGATCTGCCCTTGCTAACATCATCACTCTCAAATATTAGGACTTGTAAAAGAATTGCAGCCCTAACTAGGATTGCAATCCTGTCAGTAGGTTAAGTAACATGTACCACGTTGTTCACATTGCTGTCCCCAGAGATATGTGTTTTCAGTGTTTGGTTTTTCACACTTTATTTTCCTCATACAGCAAGCTAAAGATATCACGTCATGAAACTAAAGAGACAGTACCCCCAACAAACTCTACGGGCCTAATTCATTAGCCACATCCCTTCTGTCTGGTTTCCAAAATATGTACATTTCTTTAAGTCATCCCATGCCTGAAAACCCCTCACTGGCTCCTCATTTGTTAAAAGATTTCATGGCTTTTCACATCCGGCCTTTGCAGGTACGGTTCCCTCTGCTAGGACCATCTCATTGCACAGTTAACTCCGGTTCCTCCTCTACTTCTCATCTTAGATATTGCCCCTTCCAGGCAGCCTCACCTGATGGCTGCCTCTGCTGTCACCCAGATCACTTAGGACCCTCCTGGTCCTGTTCACATGCACCCTAATACTTGTTCCTATCACAGCACCTGTCATTCTGGGTTGCAGTTTATCTATCGGGTTGTTGATGACCAACGACCTAGTGTGTGTCTGCATCTCTCAATGCATCCTACTTGCTGTTACAGACCCAGTGTCTTAATGTCCAACACACAGTCAGTCTTTTCTAGATAAATCTAAGAATCTGAAGCTATCTGTGGAATGGCTACCATTTATTGCTTTGCTTTGAGCCATGTAATGTGTAATTTAAACATCATATATATTCTACAAAAGTTTTTTTTGAACACACGGTCTTGCTATGTTGCTACCTCATCCGACTGGCATGCACCATTGTACCTAGCTCTCTTTAAGATAGAATCCCTCTCATGTTGCCCAGGCCAGTCTTGAACTTGCAATCCTCCTGTCACAGCCTCTGAAGTTGCTGGGATGACAGGCACGTGATATAGTACACAGGCCTCCTAATGTGGTCAGATTCTGTGGAGCAAGGGTTCTTAGCAGTGTGCACCATCATGGCTGGGCCTATCACTTCTTCTTTAACCCTTTCATCAGTGCAGTAAGGTAGGAGACCACCAATATCTATATTTTTGATGAGACGTTGAAAGTTTATGAAGGTTTATAACATGTCTGGCCCAAGGTCACACAGGTAGAAAAGGGTAAAGCCGGGACTTTGATTCTGGCTCTGGGCTTTGAGTCACTACCAGCATTACTTGAATAGCCAGGTATTTCCTTGATTGTACCTGAATACCTGAACTATAAAGAACATTCATGCCTGCCAGAAGAGGGGCTGGGGAGATCAGAAACCCAGTTACAAGGCCCATAGGCTAACTGGGGCCCCGGGAAGTTCGAATGGGCTACAAGTTTGATCTGGAAGTGAGAAGCAGCTTTGGCTTTAGGGTGCCCCTTGATGGATACACGGAGGGTGACAAGGTCTCGTGGTTTTGTCCAGATGGCTGGACCAGCATGATTCGTAGGCCCTCGACCCAGACCCAGGCTCACTGCTGTGACTGGCCAGGGCCACGTACGTACCTGCTTCTCCTCTCAGGGCCTTCTCCAGCTGCACGCCCTGGATCTCTGAAGCCCTCTGCCGCTCCTCCACCTCCTCCAGCTGCCTCTGGATGGCCTGCAATGCCAGGGTCACAGGTCACACAAGGACCTTCGACACAGGGGGGCCAGCAAGGGGGCTGATTCTATCATTCATTTCCCAGGAGGAAGAAGCAGATGTACCCGTAATGCTACTTCGAAAAACTGAGCAAGGACCTCTGAACTCTCAAACAACCACACTGAGGTTTCCCTCCTTTAGCAGGAAACATAAGAATCTTCTAGTGTGTTCTATCTGTACCCAAGTAGACATTAGAGCAAGGCCAATTTGATATGGCCAATCACACAGATGTCCTCTAAGCTGCTGGGCTGGGTGGCAGTCCCATGTCCCTGGACTCCTTGGTGCTCACAGCCTCTGACTATGGCCATGACTATGGCCATGACATAGTCATAGTGATGGTGACTGTAGCACTGCTTAGAACAGAGCGGTGGCTCCAGGGACAAACACAGAGTATGAATGCTTTGATCCCTTTCTCCCAAGACCCGCAGATACCTCCCGTCTGGAGCAGGAGACCTGGGCGACCCTTACCACTGCGCCTTCCTTCTTCAGATTGCCCTACTCCTCTCAGCTACGACTGCATCTCCTCTTCACTGCTTCGCGGGCTAGTGCCTGGGTTCTCTCACTGTAGACGTTTACCCTGGCTTTGTTACTAGCAGGTTATTATGACAAGTCACAAGACACCCAACTCATTAAAGGTCAACCTCCCGCTCTCCTTAGGCATCATAGGCACCGGTTAGGGTTCGGGGGTCATGACTGTGTTTGCGTTTACATCCATTTCCCTACCAGCTGTCACTCTCGTATGTCTTAGGAAGGGAAGTTAGAAGGAAGCCTTTCCTACCTAACTTTTGCTCGTCCCCGTCAGTCTTCTCTGCTTTCAAACACCTGCCGAAAGACACGCCTCTTAACAGAGCAGACTTGACACCGGGCAGGACAGGCATATTGAAGGCACTGCCAGCTGTGAGGGCAGGCAGAAGGCCTGTGCTCCTCCTCCGCCTTACTTCTGCTCTGTCTCGCTCCCCTTCCTCATCCTCACATATTTCTAAATGTCCCCTCAAATCAGGGGATCAGTAGCTGAAGCACCTTGAACCTTGAAGACACCCAAGCAGGGGCAGGGTCTGAGCAGTCGCCTGGCTGTTCTTGCTCCAGCTACGTGTGTGAACATACCATCTGAAATAGGTGGAAATGCTATTTACCATTCCTTGTCATTTCAGACCCTCTTCCCCTCTGTCTCTGTTTTAAAGATAATTATGTCTTTGTAAATCGGGACTTGCTGGCACGATGCAGAATTGCTGAAGGGAAGTACTTAAATGACTCCATTACTGATTACTGTGCAGTTACAGCTATGTGGTTGTTCTGGGCTACGTTGTGTCCCCTCCAAAATCCATGGTTGTAACCCTAAGCCCTCCTGTCACTGTAGCCAGAGATAGGACTTTTCGGAGGTAGTTTAGATGAAATGAGTTCATAACGGCGGAGCCCTCATCCAGTAGCACTTGTGGCCTCAGAAGAAGAGAGAGATACACCAGAGACCTGTCTCTGTCACACAAAAGCTCATGCAAGGACACAGCGAGCAGGTCACAGTCTACAAGCCCAGGAAACAGGTCCCACTTGACACCACACTGATGGCCTCTTGATCTTGGGCTCCTGCTCCAGCCACTGCTTAGAACAGAGTGGGGGCTCCAGGAGCAGATGCCTGTGGTCGAAGCCACCCGGTTTATGACGTTTTGTTACGACAGCCCGTGCAGTCTAATACGGTGGTCATTCTTTAGACACCAAGGATGAAAGTCCCAAAGACCAAAAGGACTGCTACGGGTTCTAGTAGGTCAGAACTCAAAGGGTAACTCTTCTCTGATTAATTACTGGAGAGAAGATAAGGAGGGGAGGGTGTCATAAAGACTTGTCTTGCTCTTAAAAAGAAAACCTGCGACGTTTCAAGGAGACCCATTTTAGAGACTGCGAATGGACAGAGATGAGTTTATGGGGGTTGCCCTGTGCACTAGGTGAAAGGGGGTCAGAGTCACCTAGGAAGGACTAAAGGGGATGGACTGAGTGGCTTCCTTCTTGTCAGAGGCCGCCTGAAGATATGACGGTTAGGTGGAGGGAGAAAGGAGAAGGGAGGGAGGGTCCATTGTAACGACATGAGGAGGGCTTTCAGCTCCACACTCCCAGGAACTCCCAGATCGCAGGCCCACTCATTCCACTCAGGTTTGTTTTCTGACCTGAGCCTTATAAAGTCTTTTCAACTCTTCTTGCTTAACCAACTGCTTAGTTGCTTTTTCCAGCTTCCTTCTTCTTCTAAGCGTCTTCCTCTCCTGTAAAAATCAATACAGGAAAAAAAAAACAAACAAGGTCTGAGAGAAATGGAGTTGAAATGTACAAAATACCATCAAGGCCCTCTAACCTTGCCACGGGACAGCTCCTAACCACTGCTCGGTTTCTATGCCAGAATAAATGACCACCAATAAAACATTCTGCAGGGCTAGAAAGGATCCAAATCTGTGCTGTTCGAAATCTGGAACCTGCGTTTTCCTTATTCCCCTCCAAATCTAGCTGAATGGCAAAGTTAAGTTTATGACTATGAAATAAAAACTGAGTAACAGTAAAAGAAAAGAAAACAAAGACATATGGAACCCACGAGCCATGTGTGGCTCCTGGGCGCTTGGAATGAAGTGAGTGTGAGTAAGAAACTACATTTTAAATGAAAGTTTAATGAACTTAAATGTAAACTTAAGTAGCCCCACATGGTGCTGGATTGGAGAACTGGTGTGTATGTGGGGTGTCTTTGGAGGGAGTGTACGGTTGGTGTGTAGGTGGGAGTGGCTTTATAGATTACAGATCAGGTTGAGTGGCAGGGAGGACTGATGCAAGACCCATACCTTACATAGGTGCTACCAGACGGTTCAGGAAGAAGCCAGGACAGATAGGCAGGCGGGTGGGCAGGCAGACAGACACACACATTCTCTTGCTCCATATCCCCCTTTCCCCATGAAAAATTTAAATACTACTTAGGTAAGGTCTATAGTACCTAATTAAACCTGGGAAGAGGGGCACACATCTAAATAATTCAAACAGAAGTCTTTCTTGGCTTGGCGTTGGCATGCGATGGCTCCCCTTCCCTACCTTGCTTTTCTTGTTCTACCATGTCTTAGCACTGTGCTCCACCGAGGTTGGGCTTAGAGATTTCTTTTCAAGACTGGCAGAAATGAATGTGGAATTGAAAAGTTGTAGCTAGCTTGGTGCTTGGGTTTTTGATAACTGTGGCTGAAGGATCGTTTGCTTGTTAAATGCCTATCTATCCATAGTGGGGATAGAGACCTTGAAGAGAGGGCTGACCCTGTAACTGCCAGAGCAATCGGGCCCGCAGAGGTCAGCGGAGCCTTGAAAGCACACGTGTTACAGGGTTTTAGAGACCTCTGTCATTCCGTTTCCCAGCCCACGGATATGAACAGAGAAACCGTCACTCACCTTAGGAAAGTGTCCAGTTTTGAGGCTTCAGAACCTCCAACCATCAGATCACCAGTGAAAAAATTAATCTCAGTGATGAAAATTTGCTTTTCTAGAATTCTTTTTGGGATCTTAAAGAGTTTCTTCAATTTTGGAAAGAAATTTGTCTTTCAGAACACAACATATCCCACATCATATCATCTGTTTCTAGGGGATGACTTCCAGATAAACAATCACTCTGAACAGTGGTGGTAGGCCTTTTGCATGGGGCCTCCCCCAGTCGGGGGCTGGAGCCTTTCTGGAAAGGCTGGGGTGGGAGGAAGGTGATAGGAATCAGTGATCGTAGTCATCCAGGGGTTGCCTCATTGGCTCGAAAGGCTGGGGTGGGAGGAAGGTGATAGGAATCAGTGATCGTAGTTATCCAGGGGTTGCCTCATTGGCTCTATGGGGAGAGTCAGTTCATTTATTGAGCAAGTATCTCTCAGGCCTCCATTATATTAGCCCACATAATAAATCAGTGTCGATGGAGTGCTATGTGCTAGACACTGTACTAATTACTTCCCATGCATCTCACTTATTGCCCAAATTCCACTTATCGGGCCATCAAGAAAGTCATGACACATTTTTGCATAGGAAAACATACAAAAATATGTCATGGCTTTCTGGGTGACCTGCTATTTTACAGATAAGGAAAATAAAATACAGAGAGGCTAAATTACCTACCCAAGATGCACAATTAGTAATTGGTAGAACCAGGAGTCAAGGCCAGATAGCCTGGATCCATGTTTTTCTCGAATCTGTGCTGCCTTTCCTTGTGCCTGATACCATTTGGGCCCACTCAGGACCCCACCTGTGGGCACTAGAGGCAGGAAGTGTCAGGGTTTCCTTTGAAATGAAGACTGTTTAACACACTGTCAGGGGGTGGTCTGACAGCATCCTGTGGTCTTAGAGCACCCCGGCAACAAAGCTACCAACCCCTGACTGCTTTATTAAGAGTTGGCAAGGCAGAGACCAGAAGAGGAAAAGAAGGAGCATTGCCTTTTATTAGAAAGATGTTGACATGGGAAAAAAGGAGACTTTATTAACAACAACTCACACAGCCTCGTGCTATGCTGAGCATAGTTCTCAAGTCCTCAGGGATGGTGCTGATGCAGAGAGGAGAGGAAAGAGGTGGAAAGATAAGAAAGAAAAGATCCAGCAGGGAGAAACTTGGAAGCAGCAAGGACAAGCTGGGACATCCCTTCCTGTCTCGTCTCTCAGATGCGCAGGTTTGAGAGGAGAGGCAGAGGTGGTGGGGAGGGCATATCCTGTCTCTGTTTTTCGAGTTAGGGTTCACTGAAGCTGGCATGGGCCCTGTGCCACCTGGCTGGGAACACACCTGAATGGGACAGAAGAGACAAAGCAACCAGAGGGCAAAAACCTCCCCTTGTTCCGTCAGCATGAGCTTTTGGGAAGTCATGAGGAAGAAATCCTCTTTCCAGCTTCCCCTCCTGTGGGAGCAGAAGCCAGGTGAGCCAGGCGAGCGCTAGCACTCGGCAAGGCCCAGTGATGACAGGCTCAGTCCAGGCCAGCAGGAGATGAGGAGCTATTTGTGAGACTAGTCCTGGATACCAAGGTTTGGCAATTTCCATGTGTTAGGGCCCCTCCATTCTTTTATTCTCCATGACTGCCAGGGTGGCCGATGCTGGAGTTTGTCTAATTTGAATGCAGAATTAATTTAGGGTCACTCAAGGGGATGAGAGGGGCAGTAAGAAGATCCCAGAAATCAACCCAGCACCCAGAACTCATCTATGTTGAATAATGAACTAATTAGGGGAAAACCCCCCAGAGAGAAATGCGAACCATGCATGTTCTCTGCCTCATCCACGTACTCATGGATGCATGCACATCCCATCCCTCTTGACTAGCTCTAAGCTGGGCCATGGGAAGTTGGCACCCCTGAGTGACTTGTGATGACGCCAGAGCTCTTAATGCCAGATACGGAAAAGTTGAGTTTAAGTAAATACATTTGATTGTCTCCCTCCTTTCCCAGATCTCCCCTGTTCCAAAAAATAAACACTACCAGAGCAGTGAACTGCTTCTCCGTCCATCCGGCAAACATGTGAGGTCTAGCCAACTAGTCCCTGGCCCCTTGGTCCCAGTAAAAACACTCTAGCCCTGGTGGATAAAGATAACAGTGGGCTTTGGGTCATGGGACACTTGTGTCCATGTACGTGACATATAGACACATTAACATACATGTAGCAGTGTTTGTGTGCTTTATCTGGGAGTAGGGAGTTGTTGACAGAGTTCTCCCCAAATATTAAAGCTCACTAAGCAAAGAAGACTGGAGTCTCTACAGCTGGCACATGGCTAGTCCCTTCCACAGTAGGGATTCTCAGAGCATCCACGTCTAGATGCAACTGCATGGTTCGTTTCATATTTCTGATTAAGATAAACATAACATTTTCCATGCAATCTGCCTCTAGTGATTCTTAAATGAAGCTGTGCTTCCCCCCAGGGAAGTGTGCATCTGTTTGCTCTGGTTTGTTTGACGGTTTGCTTGTTGGACTATGTGTTAAACCCACTTTAAGGGCTGCCATCACCAAATGGTTTCAAGTACATATGTCTCTCTTTTTTTTTTTTCCTCCCCAGTTTGACTCTTTGTGAAAGGAATGCTTCTAAAATTTTTTTTTAGAGGTTTTTGCTACAGGGCATGTGCACTCGCCAGCCAGCCAGCCAGAGACAGAGAGATAGAAAGTGAGAAATCACCCCCCCCCCCATGGGGGATGGCCACACCGCAATCCCTTCTCCTCTCAGGATCCTGGGCACACACGCACACGTACCCGGCGTGAGTTTTAAGCCACCGGGTCCGGGATGGGAACCGCGGTCGACTACATGGGAGTCCAGCAACATAGCCATTATGCTAACTGCTAGTCCCTCTAAAAGTGTTTTTAAAGAGATAGTCCTTGAGGTGTTCTGGTAGAAAAAGTACCCTGTCTGTCACATGCAGTGAAATGTGACCCTCCTAATGAGACCACTGCCCCATCAGCTAGGACCCTTTCAGGTTTGCCAAGTGTTGTTACCTGTGAGCGTAAGGAAAGCGGGGGATCAGATTCTTCATCTGCAGAGGAGGAGGTGGTAGAAGAGGCAGAAGAGACCTGCTCTGTCACCTGCTCTGTGACGTGGATGTGCTGGGAGCCTGAAATAGGAACAGAAAAACTCACTAAACTGCTAGTTTCCTTTCCTGCTCCATGAACCAAAGAGGCCTCTTCCTCCTTCCCCTTTGCCCACACTCCCTCCCTCCCTGCTCTCCACTCACTGCACCTGCCTTGAGCAAGAAGGCAGTACCTAAGGGCAACTGAAAATTTGTCCCTTCGTGTTAATTACATTTCTGGGTCCCTGCCAAGAGCTGTGTAGCACTCTTCACATTTACAGCAAAAACAAAAAGAAAAAAAAAGGTATTATGCAGAAATCAATTAATTCCTTAAACAGCATCTATATAGTGTGTTGCTTAGAATGCATTCAGAGATTGCATCTATTATTAAAATGCATGTCTAAAGTTAGCGAGTTACCTAAATGCGTGTGTAAAGCTCGTTCTGCGGAGTAATTGAATGCAAAAAGTCGGAGCCGGCCCTTAAACAAACCGCCCTTCTGCGGCTCACGGCATCTGGCACCCATTTTTACGACATGACATCTGCTCAGTGTAAAAGAGCTGGCGTCAGAATGTCTGGTCACAGAAAAAAAAAAATCCCAAATGTAATCAGAAGCAAAAGGACTCTAAGCCTAAGGTTTTATCACATAGTCTCCTGCAACATAAATATTTCATTAATTATGGCTAAACACATGCCACTTCTATTTTCCCAACTTGCAGATATTATCACATCATCGAAGTGATGATCCAAATGCCAGGAAAGGCAGCGAAGCTAGGGATGGATCAACAGTGCAGGGTGCACATGGCTATGGGGAGTCGAAGGGGAGGTACACCTACTTCTGAACAAGAGATAGTGGCTAGAGGCAGCGAAGGGCCCATGTTAACTAGGACCTCTTTGTGATCTGGCTGGGCACCAAGTACCAGAAGGTCTTCCAGGTACTGCAGGAGGCTTTTATTCTTCCCAGCAAGAACATCTGTCCCTACACATCAACCTGATGCTGAGTTAATGATTAATTTCTGGATTAACTCTCTCTGGACGCTGCATCGGAACCAGCAAGGACTCCATCGTAGGAAATGGACTCATCTTTTCTCTGCGATGGTGGCTTCTACCTGAATAGAAGTGTGTGCTAGGAGGGAGGAGCAGAGGAGAAGCAATTCCAAGTCAGCGCACACTCTCTCCAGCCTGCATTTTCCTCCCCATAATTTTCAACTATCCACCCCAGTGGGAGAGACCAAATTTTACAAAATAAGGGTAATTTTAATCTCCAGGAACACATTTACATATGCTGCAATTCAAAGCAAAATAATGCAAAACATCCATATAATAACACAGTCTCTCTAGGGAGGGAAGTTCACTGTTTTCCACTTTAATTTGCCAGATGGGAAAGCTCAGGTAAAGAGGGAATCGGAGCGTTTTGCAATAGCGGGCGGAGGCACAGTTAGTGGTGACCCGAGACTTGTTAGTGGTTACCTCGTTCCTGCCACTAAATGATCACTGAGTAATTTGCTCGCTGGGTAGGCACTTCTTAGTGTGAGCTTGAGAAACTAACTTGACCTCCCTGAGTTTCTCAGAATCATGATTTCCCACTTGGAGGCAGAGTAAAGCTAATCAAGGTCAAGTGTCTAACGCAATGCCTGGTACATCAGTAGTCCATAGGGAGATTTTGTTGTCATTACCAGTGGCGGCAGCAGCCACCTTCTT